GAGAGAGAGAGAGAGAGAGAGAGAGAGAGAGAGAGAGAGAGAGAGAGAGAGAGAGAGAGAGAGAGAGGAGAGAGAGAGAGAGAGAGAGAGAGTGAGTGAGTGAGTGAGAGAGAGAGAGAGAGAGAGAGAGAGAGAGAGAGAGAGAGAGAGAGAGAGAGAGAGAGAGAGAGAGAGAGAGAGAGAGAGAGAGAGAGAGAGTGAGAAATAAAGAGCATAGACGTAACTTATATCATGACTAATAACATTAACCCGGCAGGCGGCGGGACTCCCGGCCACCTTCCGCGCGGTGGGGGGGGGGGGGGGGCATTTTGTTGTCCCCCCCATATCTCCGAAACTACTGGACGGATCCGGAAAATTCAAACGGCGTTCGATAGCCCTGTCAAATTTGTCGAAAGAAACCAAATTTCATTGACCTCGGAGTCACCGATGACGTCACAGGTCAGGTCAAAGATAAAATGTTTCACCGTTCACGGCCCACGGGCTTCTATAGGGAAAGCGCTATAACACCGAGTAAAACGCATTTTGTCGAAAATCAGCGATAAGGCGTCAGTTGTCTAGTACATATCTTGCTATTAGAGGTCACTGGTCATACCAGGTCAGGTTACAGGTCAGGTCACCAAAGGTCACCAAGGGTCACCACATGAACCCAACTTTACTAAGGTTGTGCGATGCATGTTTTATGGCCAGTTTTTCATTTCCAACTCAATGGTGTTGGTTATAAGACCATCAGGTACGGTTTAGGTCACTTTCTGGTGGAGGTCAGGTCAAAAAAGGTCAAATTTCAAAGTTGATATTTTTGCATAAAATGGGTATTGCTTCGATGCAGCTCGTCCAGGGGAGTCTAATGGCGGTCTTTGTTTTGCGCTATGAGGTCTAGAATTGCTAAAAATTGAGTTTGAAAATTTGACGTCATCAATTTTGGACAGTTTTTTCGCTATAACTTGGCCAAAAAAAGAGGTATCGATCTCAAATTTGGTATGTAGATAGAAGGCGGTAGGGGCTATCACATATATTCCGTTTTTTTTAAATCAAAAAACGTTTTGGATTTTTTGGCTATTATATTCAAAAAATCTTTTATTTTTGGGGGTCAAAATAAAAAATCGAAAAACCGAAATAGCAGTTTTGTAGCCCTATTAATTCCACACCTTTTATGTTGAAGCATTTTTCTGTATCTCTAAAGCTGTAGGCCTGACAGCTCTTCCCGCGAAACCTTTTTTTGGGTCGAAAATGGCAAAAATGACGTCACTCTGACGTCATTAGCAGCCAGCCTATCATAGCCTTTGGAAAAGTTTTTGGTCACCATGTGCGCTAGCTGCTCCCGGGAGGATACTGAAAGTTTGGTGACGATCGGCGCAGCGGTTCTCGAGATATATCGAAAAAAAACTAAAGGGGGGCAAAAAATGCCACCCCCACCGCCTGGAAGGTTAAAACTACACTCATCGGCTTACTAGAAAACATTGATTTAGCATCTTTGTTGTAATTAGCAGTGCTTTACGCGATAACTATTTTTCGGACCTGCGATAACGATAAACGATAAACGATAAAAACAAAAAATTAACAGCGATAGCGATAAAACGATAAAACGATAACGAAAATTGTTTTTTTAACAGCGATAACGAAACGATAAACGATACAACGATAACGATAATTGCTTAACAGCGATAACAAAAGCAATAAGAAATACAGCTTAAATAAGTGTATTTAACCCTCGCCGGCACAGAGGGGTTGATGCAACCCCCCCCCCCCCTAAGGTTTTTCGCGAATAACTCGCGTAAAAAGCGGCCGATCGCGACGAAACTTTCAGTTCCCTCGCATTGATCAATTTTACACGTTCCCCGAAAATTTCATGACCCTGACCCCAATGACCTTTGACCTGTGACCTCTTTTCCGTGACCATGTTTGGCCGAAATCGCGATTCGGCGTATGTCGGCTCGCATTAGCCGCGCGTGTGCAAGCTTTTCGTGGTTTCAAACGTTCAAACATGTGATTTGATGTTGCTCCCATACATTAGGGTGGGTGTCAAGGTCACCTGAAGGTCAGGTCAGGTCATTGACCTTTGGTGACCTCGGATGACCTCGGTTCACTTTTTCGAGTTTTACATGTTTCTAGGCTAGTTTTTGGAGCTGAATTCGAATTTAGCAACCATTTGAACATTTACGAAGTAGTTTTGGTGCCTTCGTAACATGTTACGAAGCTGCCAGAGGCTGTTGACACGTATTACGAATACCCGTCACAACCCCTACCGGTTGACCTGACCTGACCTGACCCGACCTGGTCTAAATGCTTAAAAACATCATCTCTGATCAAACCTAACACGATATTCGTGATCAGCACCACGGAAAACCACATAGCAGCAACACTTTACGACTTTCTAACAGGTCCCGATTTTCCCGGTTTTCGGGTCATTGACCTGACCTGGAAGGTCACCCGATGACCTAGGACCTTAAAATTGGGTATCATCGGCTTCCTCTCGTGACGGGCAACACGCTCGTTTTTTTTCTGCGAAGCTCTAGCTCGATCAGGGGCCAAACGCGAGGGGGGGGTCGTACCAACCCCCCCCCCCTTGTGCCGTCGAAGGACGCAAAATGGCTTGGCCTGTGACGGCGAGGTTTAAAGTGCCCAAAGACGGAAACCTGAGCCAAGTTGGCGTAGTTTTTTATGCTGAGTTTGACTTTCTGGAGCAAGTTTATTTATATGTAGGTATACTTATTACCCAGCAAACATGCCCACATGGGTCCCATATGGGGTGAACATGGGCCAGATGGGCCCACGTGGGACATGGGCTACAGATGGGCTACCCATATGGGCCCCATATGGGATAAAAATGGGCCAGATGGGCCAAACGCATGCATGGGCTGGAGATGGGCATCCCATGTGGGTCCCATATGGGGTGAACATGGGCCAGATGGGCCCACGTGGGACATGGGCTACAGATGGGCTACCCATATGGGTCCCATGTGGGCGCCGCGTGGGTCCCATATGGGGCCTACGTGGGCTGACCCATATGGGTCCCACGTGTCACCCACTGCCATTCCCATGTGGGACCCATATGGAAGAGGTGGGGGGCCCATGTGGGCCCCATATGGGAACCATGTGGGCATGTTTGCTGGGTACTTGTTACAATGTTGGTATAAATCACGCTCAATAAGCTAATCACCAGTGGTTTCCGCATGCGATAGGATGAGCGATAAACGATAAACGATAATTATCGCTGTTAACCTTCGCCCCAGTGGGGGGGGGGGGTATATGTTTACCACCCTGTCGCGTTTTTGCGTGTGAATAAAAAACCGCGGCGCGTAGCGCCGCGCCGCTTGGGTTAGCTTTTGGTACATCAATTTTGGACAATGTGTGAAATTTTTGACCCCAGGTCATGTCAGGTCAGGTCACCAGGTCAAGTTAACTGACCAAGCATAAAATAGTTTGTAATCATGTCCAGCATGCAGTGTTTGTCAGAAAGATTTTAAACTTGGTGGATTGCATGATGTTATGGGCGCCTACAATTTGTACATCTCGGATTTTTCATATCCGTGACCTAAGGTCAGGTCAGTGGCGTGACCTTTCCATTACAAGTCAATGGAGAAAAAATGAAAATGCCTCTAGATCCGTGTGTACGCATAGGAACAGTCCAAATATTTCAGAATCACAATGATTTGGACCATCCGTGATGACCAAGGTGTCATTTTTGCTGATAGCCTCTAGAAAGGTCATCCGAGGTCATTTGAGGCTACAAACAGATTTTTGCCAATAACTCGCGATTGGAAAGAGATAGGACGCTGGGGATGGTCTCATTGTGTTTGTCTTGCTGAGACGCATCGACCGATATGCAACATGACCTTTTCCGGTCAGCTCATGACCTTGAGCTGAGGTCAAATTTTCAAGTTGACCTTTCAAGGTCAAATTATAGTTTATTCGACGCGTCTCGGCGAGAGGAACACGATTCTGGCAATAGAAATGTTCTGGCTTTTTGAAGGCGAAAGTAATTGTCGAAAAACACTTTTCGTAAAAACAGCTATTTTTGGAGTTTTTGCCCTCTGAAGGCTGAACCGTTGACCTGAGGTCAATTTGGATAGGAAACCATACGAGTTCCTGAGATAACGGCATGTTTTCTGAAAAATATAATGACCGTTGGCAAATTTTGACCTTTGATGACCTCTGGTGACCCCAGTATTGCTCTAAGATGAAAAATGACTGAAATACTTTCAAACGTACGCATTGAGAGCTATCGACTGCTTTTTACCGCGTCTTTCTAGCCCTCTTAGTTTTTGAGTTAGAGGTGGGTGGTAACATATGCCCCCCCCCCACACACACACACTAGGGCGAAGTTGGCTGAGACCGCCACTGGGTCATCGTTATCTTTTATCGCTAAATTTTCAAAATTATCGCTCATCCACTTATCGCAAGTTACAAAAATTATGAACGATAAACGATAAAATATAAAACGGGATGTTGGAAAAATGGAAGACGTTCGACAGTGTATGCCGCGCGACAGTACCTACGCATGCGCAACTTGTTGCCATCTGCTAAGTGTGCAGATCTGTCAGACGGCCGACGGGTGGTATAGATTTCAATTTGCGCGGCAGACCGGGCAGAGGTCAGTCACAGGGGGGGGGGGGGATTCACTCCCGCATATCTGGAAGAGTGAACATACATTACTGGTATATTTGTAATTAGTAGCCCGCTCCTGATAAGCTTTCGAAACATAGGCGACGCGCTTGCGACAGCCCTTGTGCTCTCTTATCAAGGCTTTTGGGAAAAGCAGCTCATCTAAGTAGGTAAAATGACGTCATGCACCAAACATTCCGATTTGTTTGTTTTTAACATTCCTCTCCGTCGTCAATTCATAACATTCCGAAAGTTGATAATCAAATTTAATCGTCCAGTAATGCAGTAATGTAGTGTGCAGGAAAGAAAAACGCATTTGTCAAAGATGAGCAGAAAACACGTAAAATTTCGAACAGTTTAAATTCATGCCGCTCGGCCCATGTGTACCGTGATAAAAATTGGGCGGGAGCTTGGGCGAGAGCATCGGACGAAGGAAGATTCCTACACAGGGATGAAAGGGATGAAGAATAATCCGTGAAGAAAGTGTGGAGGATTTGTACGTTTAGTGAATTAAAATTATGATATAAGGGTGTTATAAGATATTTGAGGTTTGTTAATGAATCACCAGAGTGTCCGCTGAACGTCAATGTTGTTTAGAAGTTTTGAACGCTGCTTTGCTATATCAGTGCACCTACCTTGGCCTTTGCAGGTATTTATTTACTTAGATATCCCCTGTGATTTAAGTTGAAACTGCCGAGCTGTTAAGTCAAAGATTTGAATGTTCTCAATATTCAATATTAAATTCATTATTTTCAGTTTATTTGAATTGTGATTGAGTTAAATCATCTCAGCTCATTGCAAAAATATTCTGATTCAAGTACCATTTAGAGTAAAGGAAATCAAAAGGGGGTTTAAACTGGAATAGCAGTGCCGTAGCTTGAGCTGAGCCTGAGACAAGCAAATCAGATTTTTTATGACCCAACAATCATCCTAGGCAAAGATATTCCAATCTTGTCCAGAAAAGTGCTTTGCTGAGGAATGCAGTCACATCATCGTCACTCGTCGTCGTCAGCCAATCAGCATGCTGCTTACAGCCAATGGGTTTGATCTACGAAGTATGAGTGGTCAACCGCAACGCATCAAAAGCTTCCAAAGTCCATGTTGATTAAAGTCAAACAATATTTTACCTACTGTATAGTTCCCATATTAAAATATACAAAATAATCTTTTTGTAAAAAGGTTTTATTTTCTTTGCTGATCATTTTGAGTTAAAAATTCATAAATCCATTGCATGAAAACTAGTTACGGTAAAGTTACTATTCCCTTTAAATGAAATTACCACTTTATTACATGTGGCTTTCAGCTGAAATAAAAAAAGCAGTTCAAGTTTCATTTTTGTAGCCTGAGTTGAGACTCATATTAAGCAGCTTTTTGGCCCAACAATAACCATAGGCAAAGTAAGGTAAGGTAAGGATATTCCATTTGGAAATCATTCTCTTTTACATGAACTTTTGCCTTATGGAACTTGGAAGAACACATAGCTTTATGAATGTGAATAGTCGTTCCCATATGCAAATACATATTTGAAAAAATGTATTTTTGAATATTCATTAATTTCTTGTTGATGAATTGAAGCAAAAATATCAGAAAACTTGAAAAAAAAAATAATTTGAGGGAAGTGATAACTGGTATATTACCTCCTCCACCAGTGTCCACAGTCTTCATGTTTGCTAATCAGTCGGGGAAACTGTGGTCAAATCTTCCATTTTTAGAAAGCCTTCCATTTTTGGAAGGATTTTCTATATATGGGTACGCACCTTCCAAAAATGGGTACGCTGACGACGTCATCGTACCCAAATATAGAAAATGTTGCGCATATGTTGGAACTTACCGATTTCCGCCGAACATGAGGCAAATGCGACTATCGCCCCTGGTCGCTTTCTATTCGCCATAGTGAAGTGTCCATAATCTAGCGTGGATGCCTAAATCCTAGCGTGGATGTATTTTAGGTAATTTTTCAAAGTAATGAGTCGTGGAAAATTGACAAAAATTTACCGACAAACGATGGTTTTATAAGACTTTATCAAACATTTTGTAAGCAAAAAGCATCAAAAACGAAAAGTAAATATCCTTAAAAGTACTTTAGTGACGGGCCATGTTTGTTCGATACCGCTGACTTTATTTACAGTGCGGAATTGTCTGGACAGAGTGCGGCGGTTTCGGGAGTGTAGTGGCGAGTAACACTTGTATTTGTTGCCGTTTTCTGCATTTATTAGCATATTGTGTGGTTGATTTCAATTTTTTAAGGCTTTTGCCAAACATTTGGGTGGAGGTCTCGTCATTTTTCAATGTTTTTTTCCGGAATATGGGACGAATTAAATAGGCGTTGCTGCGCCGTTTTTCGTGTTACTTTCTATCGAAGGAGCATGAATCTTCAATTTATATGAGGAATAGTAAGTTTAATTTAAACCATTTTTTGTCAGGGCTATAGCTGTGTTCCTCCTGGTTGGTTATTGACCAGCTGTTTTCTCTTCTGAATTTCTATGTGTCCTCTAGAAGTAGAAAAAGAGAGCAGTGCGCCAGGACACCATGCTATTATATCACTATGTACATTGACATAGCATGCCTGTATTACCAACACTAGCACTGCTGCTTCTCCTTATATCAATGATCATAAATGGCAAAATCAACTATTAATGTTACACATTTAAAAAGGCCGTAACTTAAATCAAAGAATGTGAATCACAGTTGGGAACACTGAGATTAGACCTTCCAATTTTGGAAGCCTTCCATTTTTGGAAAATGCATACCCATTTATGGAAGGTCCTTCCAAAAATGGAAGGCTTCCAAAAATAGAAGATTTGACCACAGTTTCCCCCACTGTAATGGGTTCATTCCATTTTTTAATCTTTGCTTTCCACTGGTAGAATACCTTTTGTATTTTCCAGAAGTGGAAGAATCTCATGTTACTATCCTGGGCCCATTCTTTGAAGAGCTGTAAATAGGTTTTGAATAGAATTGGCTTAGTTTTAGGTTTATGATGTGTCACAAAATTTTACATGCAAAATGTTTTACACATTTCATCACATCATATATTTACATTCTCTCAAGCACATGATTCCTTTGGTTCACTTTGGGTCAGATATTCACTTAGCAACTCCAGTATTTTGGCATGTTGCTAAATGCTGTTACATAAACATCATGTTTTTTTAACATTATGTAATATTTAAACCCTGGCTAGTTGCTGCCCATTTGGAGTCTTTTCCATTTCTTGGATATTAGCTACACTATTGAATAGCTACAACTTCCTTCCTTTTCTTCAATTTTTCTCAGAAAGTAGATAGATAAAATGGTCATGATCTGTTATTAGCATACTAGCTTTCTGTTTTTTCTTTGATAGATTTTAGAAGTATTACTGCTACACTGATAAGCTTAGAAATGATTTGAATCCATCCCTTGGGTAAACATTTGCATATTATGCTTGTTATTAGTTATCAGCTATGAATGAATAACATTCCCTGGTTGTGATTCTTCATAAATTTTTGAAATGAAAAATAAATTGGTTTATTATCATGCATAATAGGCTTTAAATCAAATATTCATTATACTTGTTAACCCTCGCCCTGGTGGGTGGGAGGGGGGGTCGATGCGACCCCCCCCCTAAGGTTTTTCGAAAATAGCGTAAAAACGGCGGCGCCCAATTCGGCACAGCCTATGGGGCAACCTTTTTACATATGACCTGAAAATTTCAGGTCCGGGTGACCTTGGGTCAGGTCACCAGGTCAGAAAAACCGGTACAAGGTCACAGTGTTCCATTTTTCAGACTTTTTGGTGGCAAATCACACCTAATGGGGAAAATACTTTCATCCCTAAAATATGAATGACCGACTTTACTTCATCTCGTAAAAAAGTTTCATGTATTTCCAACAGCCAGTTTACATGTCACGTGACAGTTGATGATACATCCACATCCTTTTATTTCACAGGCCCTGTCAAGATTCTGACATGAAATCCTGGTTTATCAGTTGGCATTCAAATTGGCATTACACTTTTGCAAATATACTTCGGTTATTTATTTCCTTTTTTCTCATCCTAGGATTTTTTCTCTTCATCGGCACACCCAACCAAAATCCAATTTTAGAACACTGCAAGGTCATGGTCAAATTTCAATTTTCTTTTTGCACCTGTCCAACTCACAATTTTGGACTGATTTCCTTCAAACTTTCAGGATGTGCTAAGTTCATCGAGTTGTATAACATATAGTTCGGGTTTTTTATGTGACTGACCTGAGGTCAGTTAGAGGTAATTACGTCGTAATGTTAACCCTCGCCCGCATTGGGGTTTTTCCAGCGGCGAACGTATAAGGGGGTCCGTTGGGCACCCTGCCTTGCCGTTTCGCCCCTGATCGAGCTAGAGCTTCGCGGAAAGAACGAGCGTGCTGCCCGTGACGAGAGGAAGCCGATGATACCGAATTTTAAGGTCCTAGGTCATTGGTTGACCTTCCAGGTCAGGTCAATGACCCAAAAGTCGGGAAAATCGGGACCTGTTAGAACGTCGTAAAGCGTGGCTGCTATGGGGTATTCGGGGTGCTGATCACGAATATCATGTTAGTTTTGATCACAGATGATGTCTTCATGCATTTAGCTCAGGTCGGGTCAGGTCAGGTCAGGTCGGTCAACCAGTAGAGCCTGCAGGGTATTCGTAGTAGGTGTCAACCGCCTCTGACAGCTTCGTAACATGTTACGAAGGCACCAAAACTACTTCGTAAATGTTCGTTTGGTTGCTAAATTCGAATTCAGCTCCAAAAACTGGCCTAGAAACATGTAAAACTCGAAAAAGTGAACCGAGGTCATCAAAGGTCAGTGACCTGACCTGACCTTCAGCCTTCAGGTGACCTTGAACCCACGAAAAGACTGCAAACGCGCGGCTAATGCGAGCCGACATACGCCGAATCGCGATTCCGGCCAAACATGGTCTCGAAAAGTAGGTCACAGGTCAAAGGTCATCTGGGTCAGGGTCATGAAATTTTCAGGTTAGGTGTAAAATTGAGTAATGCGAGGGTACTGAAAGTCTCGTCGCGATCGGCCGCTTTTTACGCGAGTTATTCGCGAAAAGCCGAGGGGTTCGTTTGACCCCCCCCCCCCCCCTATACGGGCGAGGGTTAAGCCTATGGGAAAATACTATATTCGGAAAATACTGGAGATATCCGCTATCATTCGACGCGCCTTGACGTGGATTTCACTGGTGCTTTTCTTTTTGCTCTATCTTAATTATATCAAAAGTTATAAGCGAAAAACTTTTGACCTGTTTTAGCGAAATTTTTACATTTATACCCCCCAAACCCGCCCCTAAATATTGACCTAGAGCAACCAAATTTGCACAGAAGGGAGAACTCCAGGAGCCAGGAGGCCCACCTACCTACCAAATTTGGTGTTTCTAGGTGCCATAGGAGCCAATCGCGAGAGGGTCGCATCGACCCCCTGCCCCCTGCCAGGCCGTATAATGAAAAATGCCCTGCCAGGGCGAGGTTTAAAATTTGCCTAATATTTGATAATATCTAGAATCCAGAATCAACAAACTGATGGGATCAGACACTCAGAGAGTATAT